AGATGTGATACCGCCAGAAACAAGAACTCATCCCCGACCAGACAGAACAGACCAGGGCAGAGTTCATCACACACCGAACCGTGTACCTAGGCTTGAGCCTCTGAATTTCTAGAAGCTCTGCTGCCTGACTACAAACAGATAAAAGCGCATCCTGACACGCCCATGACACGTGGGGGGGGAGTGAGAGACACACATGGGATGGAGTCTCCAGCGTCCAGCCAAGAGTTACGTTCCGTGGAGTGGACGAGTGGGCGGGCGTCATTTCCACCTTCTAGTGAGTCCTGGAACCCGTCCCTTCGGGTTTCTGTGGAGGCGTCGCTGCGTGGCTCTACACCGTGGACGACCATCCAAGCCCATCCACCAACACGGGCTCCGGCCTGCAGACCAGCCTCCTGTCCCCGAAGGGCCCTGCACACCACCCGGGCCTCCAGTCTACGGCCAGGCGGGCGGCGGCCCTTCCCAGAGGCCGCCTTTCTCTCCTGGCCAGCGTCCGTTCCCTCGCCCGGGCCCGCGGGCGGAGTCCCGAACCGCAGGACAGCCCAGCAGGTGCTCACTGGCCGGGTATTCAGGGCACCGCAGGCTACGCCCCCCAACTGCACGTTCTGTCAAGCTGACGTCACGACGCCGCGTCCACCAGCCCGGGTCACGTCGCGGCGGCGCACCGGCCCCGCCCACTCGGCCCTCGCCCCGCCTGTGGAACGCGTCACCACCGCGCCGGCCCCGCCCCCGCTCGTCAGTGCGGCCCGACGCACGGTCCGCGGCCGACCGCGGCGACGGCTCCAGGGTTTCGCTGTGCTCAGTCCCTTTCCCGCCTGCGCAGCGGAGTCCGGACGCTAGCCTTTCGGGCGGTCGCCGAGACAGTTGCGACCACAGGTTGTAGACGGCGCGGCGTGCAAGCCGGGGCGGACCGAGGAGCGGGCGGCGCTGCTCTGTCTTGAGCGCGTTGCTTTGTGTCGGGTGGGAGGGAGACCCGGAGTGGGTAGGGGGCTCGCCCGCTGACTCCCGGGCTGGGGGAAGGGAGGTCGTGGGCGTAGCAGGTGAGGAGCGCGGTTTTCATTTTGGAGGCAGCAGGAGCCCTTCCCCTCTTCCCTTCTTTGAGTAGAAAGGAAGCGCGGAAAGAAATCTGGCGCCCAGAGTGCAGTCTCGAGACTCCGAGTATTGGAAATTCTTGGCCTCTACCTCGGACGCCCGTGCAGACTTCTCTGTGAATTGGGGCAGAGGAAAAGCGGCCTTGGGTTTCCTTTCTCTTCTTTAAGCAGGTATGCTAATCCTCACCTCGCTTTTTGTGAAAATTAGCAGGTGTCTTATCAAGGCCTGAGCCAAGCTCCAAGGTTAGAGCTCTGGCTCTAACCCACCGGAATGGGTGAGCCTGGGCCCTGGCACAGAGTCTGATTCAAGAGCTTCCAGAGTAAAGCTCTGGTAGCTGCTTTTAGGAAAATTAATCACAGGTCATTCTTTTTTTTTTTTTTTTTTTAACTATTCTATTTGTTCTAATTAGTTATACATGACAGTACAACGCATTTTGACATGTTGTCCACAAATGGAGCACAACTTCTAATTCCTCTGGCTGTACATGGTGCAGAGTCACTCCAGTAGCATAATCATACATGTATATAGAGTAATAACGTCTGTCTCATTCTCCCATCTTTCCCATCCCCACAACCCCACCTCTCCCTTCACTCATCTCTCCTCACAGGACATTCCAATTCAAGAAGACCAATAAGTTAGTGGGATAGATAGGCAAGTGACTTGGTGATCACTCTTCCCTCTATCCAAGGAATTAACCAACCATAGATTTAAAATATTAAAAACAACATTTGAGTCTGCAGTAAACGTTTACCAGTTGGTGTGTTTAGGATCACCGACTTCAAGGAGGAAAGTGGGCCTCCTGAGAAGTCAGTTCCCCAAATTTCATTGAAATCCATTCATCAGACTTTTTTCAGAAAACTCACTTGAAATGCAGGTGCCTACCTGCAACTAACTGCAGTTTACCAATGGCACAGATGATTCAAAGTGAAATTGTGCCTACCAGCTCTGAGAAGTGGTTCTGCTTCATGCTTCAACAGGGAGAACCCCAGTGTGCTCAATTAGAATAAAGTTAGATCCTACAAGTTGAAACTGCACAAACTGCTTCAGTTCTGCACTTGCAAGCTGTTCTCAGCAACTGCATTGAAGGCACAGTTCAGGCCCAAAATATAAAGTTGCTAGCAAGAGCGTCCTTTAAGATCAACAGTTTTGAGGAGGTTTCCCTCCCTTAGTATACACTAAATAAAATAGTATATTGCTTATGAGGCATTTTCATTCTATTAGGCTTTATAATGGTCTAAAGTATTTGGGAGCATATGTACAAGTCATATACAAGTACTACCATATGTATGAGGGACCTAAGACCTATGGATATTGGTATCTGCTGAGTGCTCCTAGAATAAATTCTCCACATATACCAAGGAACAACCTGGTATGCATGTCAGACACCTACATGGGTCTGTGACTCATTTCTGGTCAGGATTTTATGAAGAGCAATGAAATAGAAAAGCATTTTTGTAGAACTCTCTCCTTTCCTTGGCTAGCAGGTTACACACCAGGGCCAGTGACTGACCAAGTCCCTGAAGAAGAATGGCGGCTGTGGGCAACCTGCTTGGGTAAGCATGCATTTTCAGGCCCCTCAGGACTTCTGCCATGCCACCTCTCACCAAGACAGGACAATGTTAAGCTGCTTGTCCTCGTCAGCTCATCAGTGCTGGGAGACATGTTCCCTCAATTATCCACTGTTGCCTTTTCCTGGTTGTGGGGCCAGAGCTGTTTCCACTATGGCCTGTAGCTCCTCAAGGACCCCTAGGTGTGGATCACCAAGTGTTGCTGGCATCTCTGGCAGCTGGGGAATTCTCTGTCATGACAACATGATGTCTGGCTTGCCTGACCATGTTGGTACTCTCTGCCCCAGCATTATCCACTGACCAGCTCTTTCATGTTTGTCTGTAGCCTGCTCCAACAGAGTGCTGTGAAGGCAGCTGCCCCTAGGCTCTGCTGCCTGCACACCTCTTCCTGGCTGGCTGACAGCAGCAGGGCTGTGCTCACTCGCCTACATCGCCAGGCCTATGCACGCCTCTACCCAGTGCTGCTGGTCAAGCAGGACGGCTCCACCATCCACATCCGCTACAGAGAGCCACGGCGCATGCTGACAGTAAGCATCTATCACCAGGTGTTGCTGGGGGCCCTGATGGAGGCTGAACCATGGTGGTGGGACCTCTGGCCACTGAATGATGACAGGTGTAGCATGGTCATTGTAATGCAGTACCAGAGGAGGGGGACAGGTTGCTGGAGGAGAGGAGGATGGTTTAGACCAGAATTCTCTCCATTTACCAGATAGGGTAAGTACCTCACTGTCTTTTAAAAACACCAAATCTGGGGAAATGGAGCAGAAAAAAAAGTCTCCTAATAAAATGAAAGGTTAGTTGGATGCGGTGGTACAGGCTTGTAATCTCAGCATCTCAGGTGGCTGAGGCAGGATCACAAGTTTGAGGTCAGCCTGGGCAACTTTAGCAAGAGTGTCTCAAAAAGGGCAGGGGGTGTAGCTTGGTGGTATAGCGCGCGTACACACACACACACACACACAGAAAAACAAGATTTTAAGGGAGAAAAAAACAATGTATAAAAATTGGACTGAGGCCAGGTAATGCACACCCTGTATTTCCAGTGGCTTGGGAGGCTGACATAGGAGGACAGTGAGTTCAGAGTCAGTCTCAGCAAAAGTGAGGTGCTAAGCAACTCAGGGAGACCCTGTTTCTAAATAAAATACAAAATAGGACCGGGGATGTGGTTCAGTGGTTGAGTGTCCCTGAGTTCAATCCTTGGTACAAAAAAAAAAAAAAAAAAAAATTGGCCTGAGGATATAGCTCATTGGAAGTACAATGGTCTAGCATGCACAAGGACCTAGGTTTGATACTCAGCACTGAAAAAAATAATTAAGTTAGCTTAGTGCAAAAGACACAGGCAACTGTAAGTCTCAGTGGCATCATCTCAGTAGTTCTATTTCTCAGAACAAGGTATGGGGGCACACCTTGGCCTCTCTCCCACTCAGATGCCGTTAGACCTGGATACCCTGTCTCCTGAGGAGCGCCGGACCAGGTTCCGGAAACGAGAGGCTCAGCTCAGACACAAGGAGGAAGAACCAGAGTTTGCTGATGACTTTGACACAGAGCGTTACAGACAGTTTTGGATCAAGACTAAGAAGTGACAGTGGCTTGAAACTGCCCGAGGACAGTCTGAGGATGGAAGGACATCTTTTTGTAAATTGCATGTACCTGAAATCACCACCTCTTGTCAGTGTCTTCCTTTAGGTGTGTGCCCAGCATAATAGCTCATCACCTCTCACAGACTCAAGCTGGATGTGGTGGCTCAGGCCTGTAATCCAAGCAACTCAGGAGGCTAAGGCAGGAGGATGGCAAGTTTGATAGGCTGGGCAATTTAGCAAGACCTTGTCTCAAAGTTGGGAGTGTAGCTCAGTGGCAGAGTGCCTTTGAGTTCAGTCCCCAGTACACACAACAGGGACATACACATAAAAGCTCAGAGCTGGATGGGGCTGTGGGGCTCAGAGCAGATTGGAGGTTTGGGGATGGGTTTAGGTGAAATCTGTGACTTTTAGATAGAGCTACAAAGCCACAGAGCATGTGGGCAGCCAGGGAAGGAAGCATCCAGAAACCATCAGCTCTACCCTTCTAGTCTCAGGAGCACTCAGGGCTGTTGCTCCAGCTGGGTGTTCTGGGAGGCAGAAACTTCTAGGTTGCAGCCTACAGCTGCCTCCCTTCACAGGTGCTCCCTAACACTAGGAGCAGGCACATCCCCAACCTAGCAGCCTCTGTCCCCTGATAGGGGAACCATGCAATGTCCAAAACCAGAATGTCTGCATTTTTGGGTTTGGTTACATACAGCCAAGGCCTGTGAACACATACCTTGTGTTCTGTACTCCTGATATAGGTAAAATCTAACTCCCTCCAGATGCTAACGTGCATCAAGCAAAGGAGGACACAAAAAAGGCTTGTGCCCGTCCTGGGTCATCCCAGGTCCTGGTTCTGCTCATCCTGTCCGTCTTGGGTGCTCTCAGATCCTGATCCTGCTCAAGTCTGTACCTGGCTGTTTCAGGTTTCGGTTCTCATTGTGACTGGTGGCCACTCCTCAAGGTTGCTTAGGCTAATGGCTTTGGACTATAGTTGCCCAGCCACATACCCCCTGTCCCCTCTTGGCCACACTCAGCACACATACTGTGGTCAAACACTATAACTGAGTTTCCACATACACCTGACCTGGCCCCAGAAGTGGGGCCCTCAGGAGTTGCCTACCTTCTTGAGAGTTCTTTCCTGGGAGCCTGCCAGATGACTTCTCTACACATTACTATGGCCCACACTGCTGCCCAGTGCCCACTGCTTCCTGCTTGCCTCCCCTAGACTGCCCATGCCACAAGCTTCTGCTCCCATGGGATCCATGTATTCTTCAGAACCAGGACACAAGCTCAAGGTTTATCCCAGTGCCTCACTTATTGCCCCTGTAGGTGCTCAGTGCATACGTAGAGTAAATCCATTGGGGCAGGGGGGTGGGGGTGAAGCTGTCTATTTGCGTTCCTATCTGAAAGTACCAGGGACTGGGTAAGAAAAACCACAGGACCCTGGGTGTCTGTTTTTCCCTCACTGAACCTGTAGCTGGAGTGGCCCCCCAAACCGTGGCAGAGTAATTCCCACAAAGGAGTGGCCTCAAATTTCCCAAGATAGGGTTGGTTGGGATTTGTAAGAAAGAAGCGCTAACTGCCAGGGTGATGGGTCCACAGCATTTATTAGGAAACTGGTTATAGAGGGCTGCAGTTTATCTTCACAAGGGGCAGCAAGAGGTGGGGATAGGACTGGGGCTGTAGCTCAGTGGCAGAGTGCTCGCCTAGCACGTGAGAGACTGGGTTCCGTCAGCACCGCATAAAAAAGTAAAGGCATGCTGTCCTTCAACTACAAAAAAGCGAGGCAGGATGTCTGCAACAGGGCTGTGGTGTGCAGTTACACAGGCACGCAGTGTTAGGGGAACTGCTTCAACCAGAGCCGCTTCCTTCGGGGTTTGGGCAACACCCTCAACACTGACGGAACTTTGCGCCTGGGGTCCGTTCGGTTAGGGGCGCCCCCACGCGCCGTGGGCGGGCTTGGGCGCAGTCACCGCCGCCACCGGAGCTCGTGGGACACTCTGGGTCCTAGTGTAGTGTACACAGTGGCTTTCTTGATGACGGCTGTCGCACAGGCACTGAGTTCGGGTCCGTCCAGCCTCTACACAGGGCGCTCCGGGCCCGGCGGCCGTGAAGGCAGTGCGCAGGCGCGCGAGGCGAGAGGGCAAGAAAACTCGCAAGCGAGCGGAGCGGGATTGAGGCTGTGCGGAACTCATGCTCAGTGAACGACGCAGTGGGCAGGCGCGCGTGGCCGAGTGGGCGTGGCGGCGATTCCGCAAACTGGGACGAGATTCGTGGTAGGGCGGAGTGGAGACGGCCCGGGTGATGCATTGCGCAGGCGCATGCGGCGGCAGGGGCGTGACGTCACGGCGCGCGTCGGGATCGGCAGAGTAGTCCGGTCTGGTGTTCTGCTGCCCCTGCGCCAGGCACGATGTTCGGCTCCAGCCGTGGGGGCGTACGCGGCGGACAGGACCAGTTCAACTGGGAGGACGTGAAGACCGACAAGCAGAGGGAGAACTACTTGGGCAACTCGCTGATGGCGCCCGTGGGCCGCTGGCAGAAGGGCCGCGACCTCACCTGGTACGCCAAGGATCGTGCACCGCGCGAAGGACCAAGCCGTGAGGAGGAGCTGGCGGCCGTGCGAGAGGCGGAGCGCGAGGCGCTGCTCGCCGCCCTGTGAGTGAGCGGGACTGGAGGGCGGGGCTTAGCTGACCGGGGCGGAGCCGCGAGGAGCTGGGGCCTGGCTTGGCGGGGCGGGTCGCACCCCTGATTCCACCCCTGGCCCTCGTAGTGGCTACAAGAACGTGAGGAAACAGCCCACAGGCCTGAGCAAGGAGGTAAGCCGGGCGCAGGGCCCCGGGGGCCGGCGGGGGTCCGTCAGAATCGGCCGAGTGCCTACCGTCCTCTCCGCACCTGCAGGACTTCGTGGAGATCTGCAAGCGGGAGGGAGGCGACCCCGAGGAGAAGGGTGTGGACCGGCTGCTGGGGCTGGGCAGCGCCAGGTGAGGTGGGTTGGGCGGGGAGGGGGCGGGGCGGGAGTCCATGGCCTTCCTCACCGCGCTGTCCCCACAGTGGTTCCGCCGGCCGCGTGGCACTGTCCCGGGAGGACAAGGAGGCTGCCAAGCTGGGGCTGTCAGTGTTCACGGTAACCCTACCCCCACCACACACACCGCTTAGTGCTCTGGGAGCCAGGGGGTGCCGCTGGGGAGAGCGTGGGGGTAGGCGGGCCAGGCCCCAACATCCCTGCCTGCCCTCCCCACGGCACTGCTTCCCCCGCAGCATCACCGCGTGGACAGCAGCAGCCCGGGCACCTGTCCAGCTTCCAAGAGGAGGCCACGCGCGGAGGAGGAGGCTGAGCCGAGGTAAGGCAAGGGGCCTGAGTCCCAGCAACTGGAGCTGCCTGTCTCTCATGTGTCCCCTGGGGAGTGTTTGTGGGGCTGCAGTGCTCGCAGTTGGAGACAGAGCCCACTTCACAGCTGGTGGGGGCTTTTTCTGCATAGGCCAGGCGCCAGCAGCCCTTGAAGCTACCCTGGGTTGGTCCCAGGCTGACCTCAGGCCTGCCTGCCAGGAGGCCAGAGGAGCTTGGCAGAGATTGGGGAGCCAAGTGGGTTGATGCGGAGGGCACAACTGTCACTTCAGAAAAGTGGATATCCCACTTAGTTTAGTGGGAGGTGCAGTGGCAGGACCTGAGATACCCCTAGCAGGCACTGTCCTGCAGTGCTTTCTTTCCTAACAGGATGTTCCAGTCTATTGGCAGAATGTTACTGTCCAGTTCTTGAAATGTGGCCCAGTGAATGAGGAGCCTCTTAGGCTCCTTTACTACTGTCACAGAGCCACAAACCATGAATAGGTGCTGGTTACCACAGTGCAGGAGCATGTGGATTGCTGGTGGGACTGCCCTGGCCCCTCAGCTGGCTGTCTCCTGTACCCAAATGCTAGGCCTCTGACTCTTTTTATATTTACTTTTAAGCACCGAGAGCCACAAGAAAAGCAAGAAGGAGAAGAAGAAAAAGAAAAAGAAAAAACATAAGAAACAGAAGATGAAGAAAGACAAGGAGTCCAAGAAAGAGGCTGATGCCTCTTCCTCATCCCCTTCTCCTGTTCGGTAAGCCCAGAGTCAGCTTGCTCTGCCTTGGGGATCCAGTGCTGGCTGGGGCCTGATGGAGTAGTTAGGAATTCCTGAGCAAGGCCCTGGGGCTCCTGGAATCTAACAGCTGGGTGCCCACCCAGGGTCCTTCCCCTGAATATGTCTGGCTATCTTTGTTTCCTCAGATCTGGGCGCCAGAGGCATGATTCTGACTCCTCTTCCCCTTGCTGCAAGAGGAGGAAGCGGGGACATAGCAGGGACAGTGGAAGGAACCCATCCTACAGACGCCAGGACCGAGGCTCTGATGCTTGAGACTGCAGCTGGGTCAGTGGAGGCCAGAGCCTTGGACCCTGCCCACCACTGTACCTTGTGGGGCATGAGAGGACGACTGGACCCTATGTGTTCTGGGTGCCAGCTCGCTCCTCCCACCCTGTTGGCCTGCTGGACCACCCAGGGAAAGGCCTCCTGTCTGGGTTGAGGCAAAGGCTGTGTACTGTGCCTGCTGGGCCATGTGAGCTGGCTGGCCAACTCAAGAGGAACCTGCTTTGTGGAGACCCTCCAGATTCCTGTGAAGGGAGTCCGTAGAACTCAGCGGGTTCTGGGACAACCATCCCTGGTCTTGTCTGCTGCCAGACAAGATCTGCACCTGTCTAAGAGCCTTTTGCAGACTAGACTCCTGTGTAGCCATCCAGGACCATCAGAGGTTTAGCTAAAACCAAGTGTGGTTATCTCTATTCCTTTTTGTATGGACTCACTCTTTGTACTTTAATAAATACCTTAAAACATAAGTGTGTCATCAAGAATGAAAGGATAGCGTGGAGTTTCCCGAAACCCCACTAAAGGGAGACAGTGGCAATGGCCTTGCATTCACAGTATGGTCTTGGCCTAGCAGTAGTGTGGAGCTGCCTGACAGCTGGGTAGCTGATGACAAGGTCAGGTGGTGGGGATACCTAGAGCCTCTAGGTACCTCTTCAACCTGCCCAGGGGCTTAGCCTGCCTTGTCAGTGGGCTAGACTGCTACACTGACCTGGGGCAGAGCCCAGGCTGGATTTTTATATGATGCTTAGTTCTGCTGATTCTAAAAGAAACTTGAAAATGCTGGGTGTGGCCCAGGACAGATCCTGAAGCTATCCTCTAGAGGTCTGAACTCTGACTTGTACACTGCCCTCAGCCCTGCACTTGGATAGCCTGAGTGCAGGCTGCTATCTCTTATTCCAGGAAACGAAGGTGAGTTCCATCTTCCAGGGCAGCCTCTTCTTGGGGACACTGTCCAGAGGGAGAGTAGACTTTGGACCTGCTTGCCAGCTGCTGAGAACTGAGGCACTGAGGTGGCCAGGGCATTTGCTGACTCCTATTCTGGCTACCTCCTGTGGCACTGATAAGCTGGAGGATGCTTTCATGGTAGAAATGAGACTTCCAGAAGGCTTTCCCTCTTATGCATGGTCAGGCCTGACTTGGGGAGCAAAGTACCACCTGTACTTCCTGGCATGAAAGTGACTCTTTCCTACCTTGCAGGAGACAGAAACATTGGAGCCTGTGAAATAGTTAAGAGACTTTATTCTAATAGCTATAATTACAGTGCTTGTCGAAATGAAAACTGAAAACAAGTATACAAAACAGTTGATTACTAATCGTGTATTGAAAGCATTAAGAGGTTCCACGACACCAAATAAACCAGTTCTGAGGTTTCCCCAAGATAAATTTAACAGCTCCAGCTTCTTCAGTGTTTATCAAAATACAAAAGAAAAAAGTAGAGGTCGTCTTTTTCGATGGCAAATCGGACCCTTGCAGGCTGAGGGAGGAAGCTACTTCACACATGGAGATGGGGGTGCTCCGGGACCTGTGGGTCTGGAGTGGACCAACCCTCCCAGCTTGCACGCACTCATGCTGGTGAGACCCAGACCTCCTGCCAGCGGGCTGAGCAGGTGCAAGAGTGAGTGGGTGCTGGGAACATGGGCTACTGCTCTGGCCACTCGCCAACAAAGGGCGCATCTGGGCCGTGTCCCCTGCAATGGCTCTCCCAGCCTGCCCCCAGGTGACTGTGTGAGCACAAGTACAAGCACAACGCTATGGAATGCAAGTGACCCAAAGACAGGCGAGTCACGGGGGTCTCTACTGGGACCATGCAGTGGATGGCGGTTTGTGTCACCGTCTTTGTGTTCCCACAGGGGAACAGCTGATCCGATGGACTAGCATTCAGGCTGTACACTAGGCATAGTCTCCCTTCTGTGTGTTCAAGTGTTCTCCTTATCTTGTATTTTTAACTATTTTAAAAAATGCACTGAGTTTGGGTTAAAAACCAACCACCAAATGGATCCCAACACCAATCTACAGCCCAGGAGCTCCTGGAGGCCAGGTGCCCACATGCCTAAATCCCTCCTCAGTACTGACAGTGAGTTGATTCTCTTTTTACAATAAAAAAGCTGAGTAATATTGCATAGGAGTACCAGAAACTGCCTCAGTGGAAACAGAAACTATTTACATTAAATAAAAACCTGGCTGCAGGCTGCGTCTGCACATGTACAGCACGGTGCGATGCACACTGACCAACCCATGGAGACAGCTTCTGGCACTCAGGACCACAGAGTCGCACGTTTGCCACATGAGAGGAAAGCGAGGGCGGAGAGGAGAAAGTGAGGGGGTGGGGGGGTTCTGGTTCACTTCTGGTTCCGGAGCTGATTGGACAGCCAGTCCAGTCCTTCATAGAGCCCGTCCCCGCTGGTGGCACAGGTGGCCTGAATGTACCAGTTCCTGTGACGTAGCGAGTGCAGCCCCAGCTTGTCTGTGATTTCGGCTGCGTTCATGGCGTTTGGGAGGTCCTGGGGGGAAGAAGGAGTCAGTGCAGAGCCTAAGCTTGGCCCCAGGCCCACCCCCGCTCCTGGGTGGCACCCACCTGCTTGTTGGCAAACACCAGGAGGACAGCGTCCCGCAGCTCATCCTCAGCCAGCATCCTCATGAGCTCCTCGCGGGCCTCATTCACACGCTCTCTGTCATTACTGTCCACCACAAAGATCAAGCCTGCAATGCAGCAGCATTACTGCAAATGTGGACAACAGCCCACCCAAGCGTACCCACGGGCAACAGATACAACCACCGGCTCACAGGCAGCCCTCATGGCCCTGGGCATGGCTTTCCTGGCCATGATTCTATAGCGTGCCCTCTGCCCTGTCCAACAAGGCTACAGAGCTTCTATTAGGAGGCAGATGACAGGAACCTGGGGTGAAGGTCAGCTGCTCACCTTGGGTGTTCTGGAAGTAGTGGCGCCATAGTGGCCGGATCTTGTCTTGGCCACCTACGTCCCACACAGTGAAGCTGATATTCTTGTACTCAACGGTCTCCACATTAAAACCTGAGGATGAGATTGTAGCTTAGGGTCCTCTGGACCCATCAACCCGTCCCTGGCCTCCCGAGCCTCCCCAGCCCCTGCCACACAGCCATCCAGAAATCTCACCTATGGTGGGAATAGTGGTCACAATTTCACCCAGCTTCAGTTTGTAGAGAATCGTCGTCTTCCCTGCAGCATCCAGGCCCACCATGAGGATGCGCATTTCTTTTTTGCCAAAAAGGCCCTTGAAGAGGTTTGCAAAGATATTCCCCATCCTTGTGGGTGGTTGGAAGCGACACTGGCCAGAGACCTGGGGAGGCAAGGTGTCCGGGCCTGTTTCCATGTTGCAGTGGACAGGAAACCCCCCGCCCAGGCACGTGTTCCTCCTGAAATCCCATGGGGGTATGACAAAAGCCCAACAAGGCCTAGCCTAGCTGGTGGCCCAGGAAGGCAGAGATGCCAGAGTGACCTCTTGCCTCCCAGCACATTTATTTGACCTGATAACATCAGGCTGCGGGGACATTTGACACAGCCACACTTGCTCCTACTTGTGGAGTAGGCAAGCAAACATCTGAAAATTGGGTTTTTAGAAGCATGAAATATTGCTACAAAGACAGCTCTTAGGGGCTAGAACCACTCAACATCCCTCCCCACACAACTAGAGAGGAGGGGCTAGGAGCCGCCCCCAGAGGGTTAGAGAGCAGGTGTCACTAGTCTCAGGACCACAGGCCAAACCTCCTCAACACACCCAGGAGCTCAATGTGCTGCCTCAGCACAACACAGGACAAGCCAGGGAGCACTGTGGTGTCACCTGAGCCAGTCAAGCGGGCTCTCTGCCAACTCAGGTCTCAGCATCACCTTTCATTCCAGATGACCCAGGTAGCCAGGGCCCTGAGGAGCACATGGTTCCGTGATGCCATGCTGCCACAAGGGCATGCATGTCAACCCACACTACAACCACAGGATCCATTAGAAAAGAAACGCAGGAGACACCAAGCAAATCATTTGTTACCAAATCACCAGAGCCTGGTCCAAGACTTGAAGTGCCTCTGGGAAGGTGATGAAAACTGCCCAGGCTCTGGCCTTACCATCCAGGGCACTTTCATTTTTCAGTTGTTTTTAGCCCAAACAGAAATTTATCACGTTTTAAAAATGTTGATTGCTGGAAAATTAGAGACCGTTAGAGCTAACAGTGAAGGCCTTCAACTGGGGGCTGTGCAGCCCTCACCAACCAACAGGAGGGCAAAGCAGCTCGGTGAGATAGGGTGATGAGATGGCTACAAAAGAACACCCCTACACAGGGCAGCTCATCAACGTGTGTTTACTGCTTACAGCTCCAGGGCTGGAAGTCCAGAGTTAAGGGCTGGCAGGTTCCATATCTGGTTCTAAGATGGAGCCTTGTCCTACATCCTCCAGAGGGTGGAGGCACAGGAGAGAATCCACCCCTGAAAGCCCCTTTCAAGGCATCACTGATTCATTCACCAGGTTAGAGCCTTGTGACTTGAACACCTGCCTGCTACTGTTGCACTGGGGTCCAACCTCCCACACACAAATCTTGGGGGACACATTCAGTCCACAGTACTGTGTGTCAATCAGGAACAACAGAAGTGGGAGAGATTACCTGCAATTAACTGCACCACCAAGCCACCTCAGATGGCTGTCTTCCTAGCACCCACCTATGGATCTCTACTGCCCATCCATCTCCAGTGACACTGTGTACCCAGAAGCATTCTGGGAGATTCCACCCCTCACTATACCTTCTCCTTCTCCAGGTTCAGAGCCCCCGATGACGCCCAGCTGCAAGGGTATATATGCCTTACAGTTGGGATGACAGTCAAATGTTACTTTCTAACTTCCTCACCTGCTGTGTAGTACTCACTTCAGGGACACCTTCCCTTCTCCATTTCTTGGTACCCACATGGCCTGCTCATTGGGCACCTGTCTTGCTCAGGGGGTTAGACCCAGCTGCCCTGCTGATTTGATATCACCATTGTTCCATATATAGCCTGCTGGATCCTATGCCCTGGGACAGTTTCCCTTTTTGGATTTACATATTTAATTTGTATTAAAAACTTACTCAATGTCTACAATGTAAGCAGACTTTGCTATTACGGTCCCTTTTCTGGGATAGCTAAGCTCCCTGGGTAAAGAGCCTCTGGGAGACAGAGCAGACAAGCACCACCCTACCCCTCAGAGCACTCCTGAAATCACTGCCCATAGGGCAGTAAAATCTCAAGAGAGGAGAGAGAGAGAGAGAGAGAGAGAGAAAGGAGCGAGACATTTAAGACTACATGTGTGGCTCTCACCTTTAGTTCTCATCAGTCAGGGGTAAGAGAAGAGTAACAGTAATCTCAGGCCCACAAGCCTCCCACAGGGATCCAGGGTCAGGGCGAGAGGAATGGAGTCCAGGAGACCAACACCCATCCATGCAAAAAGCTGCACCTCCTGAGACACAGGCTGTGGACAGAGTCCAGCCCCGAGCACCCTAGGAGCAGATGTACCAGGCAGACACCACAGGGAGGGAGAACAGGAATGTGAGCACACGGAGAGCCCTGGAACACCCAAGCATATAAAGACATGGTCAGTCTAAGGCCTCAATGCAAGGACCCACTGACTCAGCATCTGGAGGCCCCATATTCTCTCAGAAAGCCTCCAATGAGCAACAAGCACAAAGGAATTTGGAAGGAAGCAGGAAAAGACAAGAGATGGAATTTATCTTCAAGGAAAAACAGGGCTGGGGATGTAGCTCAGTGGATGTAGCACTTGACTAGCATGTTCAAGGCCCCAGGTTAGATATCCAACACCCGAAGGAAAACCAAATAGTAAATAGGAAATAAAAACCAAAAAGGAAAAACAATTAAGCAAACAAAACAACAAAAAATCCCAGACCCACTCTCAACACCAACAGGTTAAAAGATACTATGTCTACAAAATAAGAATAGGATTCTGAAACAAAAACAAGAGACTTTTATATACAATACCAACAGCCAAAATGAAAAGTTTACAATGAAGGCTCTCAGAAATCAGGACAAAATGAAAATATGGAAGATAAGGAGCAAAATGAAGATCAACATCAAAGGAATTAAAAAAAAAAAAAAGAAAGAAAGAAAGAAAAAACATCAAGGAAGAACCCAAGGAACTGCAGGGAGATTCTTAAAGGCTGAGGCCTTGCCTGTGGCACTCTGGACACAGCAGCACCAGCAGATCAAAGGCTGGCTCAGGTGATATTCTTGCCCCTCTCTCAACACTGAAAACAAGACTCTCAACCAGGTATTAGGAAGGAAAAAAAAAAAAAAATCTCCCACAGAGACCCAGGTACAGGGTGGGAAGAAGGGAGCCCAAAGTGATGGGAAGCAGCTGGGAGACAATCCCATTCAGATTCAGCACTGCCCACTGCTGCTGCCTCCTTCTTCTTTTTTTTTTTTTAATGGTGCTGGGGATTTAATCCAGGGCCTTGTGCATGCAAGGCAAGCACTCTACCAACTGAGCTATATCCCCAGCCCACTGCTGCCTTCTTGTGCCAAGGATGCCTCAGAATTACATGTGCTGGGCCTGCCTTGCAGCACCCTCAACATAGGAGCTGTGGGGACCACAGTGGTCACAAACCCCTCCCCATAGGTGGTTTTCTTTTTAAATTTTAAACAAAGTACTAGAGTCACCCCTCCCCAAGGGGAAAAGCAGTCACACAATTTAGTGGGGGAATCAGGAAGAGGCGAGCCTGAAGGCTCAGGTTCAAGACACACCCCACAAGCACTCAGGCCTATTCTACTGTCTTCACAGGCAGAGGTCAGAGCTTCCTGCCTCGACACGCCCCAGTGTCCCTGTGGGGCCTGGGCATCATCCACTGCTGCTTTCATAGGCCCAGGTCCAAGAGAACCTCTGCAGTTGGAGGAAAAAAAGTCACTGCCAAGGTACAGGCCCCTAATAACTGTGCAATGCCCAGCCTAGGTACTGTCACCTTTCTTCCACCAGAACTCTGTACAGAAGCCAAACCTGCCTTTCAGGTTCCTCTGAATTACCCTGTTATTAGTAAGCAGTGAAAACCAACTTCCCTGAGAGTCTCCTGCCCCTTCCTTCTGTGACCCCACACTATCAGAGGTCATGCAGTCCCACCATGGTTCTTTCCTGCCAGGCTTTGGGCTCCACCTTAGGCCAAGAAAGATCCTTCACAAACAATGTGCTCTAAGACACCAGTGCAGGTGGTCTCTGCTCTGGAGTCTCTCTCTGTCAGGAGGGAACCTGCTGGCCTCCTGATCTGGGGTGAGGAGATAGAGCAGCTTCAAGGAGTGAAGACTACCTGACTGGTCCAGGTGCTAAAGAAGATACTGACTAGCAGCCAGCACCCCAACTGTCCCTCTACAGCTCTCAGGGATACCTCAGGACAAGCCAGACAGCCCTTGTCTAAATTCGGCTCTGGAGAACAATAGGTTCAGATAGAGAGTTCAGTTTTCCTCCAACTATTAGTGCTGTTCACAGAACCTAACTAGGAAGGCAAGGGCCTGCCACTGGAGCACATAGGGATGGGTTCCATGTACCCAGACTTCTCCCGGTTGCTGATCCAGCTGGGGGCTATGCTCATGAATGCTGTGCTCTCACAATGCGTTCTACTACCATGGAACACTGGTGACATTAAGAGTTCTTCTTCTGGGCTAGGGATGTGGCTCAAGCGGCAACGTGCTAGCCTGGCATGCGTGGGGTGCTGGGTTTGATCCTCAGCACCACATAAAAATAAAAAATAAAGATGTTGTGTCCACCGAAAACTAAAAAAAATTCTCTCTCTTTAAAAAAAAAAGTTATTCTTTTTTTAAAGCTTTATTAAAGTCAAATTATTATAGCATTAATTACATACAGTAAAATGCACTGATAAGTGATTCATAGTCTCAGCTTTCATATCTAATTTGAGGAAAATTTAAAAATTTGAAGATTTTCTGGAGGAACTTATATCATAAAACATTTTCTTTAAGACTTAGCAAAGAGCAACCATGTTCCAACAGTGATGCAAGCACAATCAGTTGTGTGACAGCCTGATTCATTTCCAATATAGGAGATTCTTAATTTAAAGCGGCTCTTCTACCTTCTACTTTCATGCGAGACTTGGCGAGATATACTCTGCACACACTGCTTTCTGTGTAACAACACGGGGTCTTAGCACATCTATTCCTAAAGTTTCAGGTCACTGCATGCCCCTCAGCCATGTCCAGGTTTCTAGGTCTGCTGTGTATCTGCACTGCACATCTTGACACCATTTTATAAAATGTGTGTAAGAAAACAAAAATGTGCTGATACTGTGGACAGGCAGACACACACTGG